AGGCAGAGGAGGGGACCACAAGTCTAGGGAGGCTGGCAGCTCTGGAGAGTAGGAAAGGCAGGAAAGGATCCCCTCTAGATCCTGCAGAACAAAATGCAGCCCTGCCCACACTTGGATTTTAGCCCAGTGACAACCATGTCTGACCTTGACCTGCAGCATATTGTGGATACACATTTGTGTTGTTTTAAACCACAATTATGCATTGTTAAAAGAGCAAAGGAAAACTAACACACAAGAGCAGTAAGTTTAGTCTTAGAAAGAGGAGGAAATGTTACTGCGAAATGGCCAAATTTCCATTTTGTCTTCCAAAACACAGATGTGATTTTTCTCCCTGGTATAAAACCTCAGCTCTACTGTTTGTGATAAATATCTGATGTGTTGGTGCCTGAGAAGAATCCTGCAGCATGTGGTCTCAGATCCTCCTAGACTCAAGGAAGGAGGCCATCCCTGGGACTAGATGAGGCTGTCACTTACCATAAACAGTGAGGTGGAAAACTGCTTTAATTTCTCTTCCTGTCCGAGACATGATCTGGGCCCAGTACTGCCCACTGTCCTGTGAGGTCAAATTGTTAATCCTCAGGGATGACATACTGGGCACCTGGACCCTCTGCTTGTACTTGTCCTGGAGACTGAACCACAGTGGATCTTCCTTCCCATTCTGGAATCTCAGCATGAATGTGGAGTTTGAATCAGAGGTGATGATGCCCCAGAGGATCTCCTCTATCTTGGGATCCTCTGGCTCCTGGATCACTTGCATCAAGACTGAACCTCCCCGGATCGCCTTCAGATAAGTGCGGGTCTAAAACCCTTAATCCCAGTACCATGAGCTCCAGAACTCTTGGTTAAAATGCTGCTGGCACCTAGGGCATTGGGAAAGAGATCATGGATATTTCCTCAAGGAGAACAAGTGACACAGACATTTTCTTCTTAACCAATCCATCCGGCCCCTTTCCTTGACCTAGAGAGGCAGCCTTGTCCAGTGAATTGGACTCATTTTGCAGATCAAGTCAGGCTCTGCTGAAGTGCAAATTTGGGCTGCTGACTTAAGTGGACTAGGCTGCAGTTTCCTTACCTGACTTGAAGTCAGGGTATGAACTACAGGAGACCAGGGATTGACAGCTCCCAGTACATCGTCTGGCATGTGCTAAATGTGAGCCATGCTAACAGGTGGGAGGGATACCTCATGTGACTTCAATTCTCATTTCCCTGTTGATTAGAGATGCTGAGGAGTTTTATAGCTCTGTTGCTATTCATTTCTCTCTTTGAGCAATACTTGTTCAAATCTTTTGCCCATTTTTAAATCAAGTTACCTGTTTCCTTGCTATCAAGTTACTTAGTTCTTTATACATT